AGGTTCTCCAGTAGGTACATCCTGAACCTCCATATTAATGTCTTGTCCTGTTCATAGAGTGGAGCCAGTGGGTCTCTCTCCACTATATCATTCAGCTCCTGCTCATAGGTCTTTGCTACTCTCTCTTCCTTGTACTGTGAAAGGGAATAATATTTTTAATTTTTAAAATAATATTTTTAAATTAAAATACTGTATATGGGGTATATTTCACAGGGATTTAATTTCGCTAATTTCATGGTTTTAAAAAATTCGTGAAAATTTCTATCTATGAAAATTATTTTTTACCATACTAATAATGGTCAGTAGAAGAAAAACGCAAAATTTTTTCCTTGTGAATAGGTTTAAAGGTGATTTTTGTGAAATATTTTCCCCGGAAAATATACCCCTATACGGTACATGTAGTTATAAGAGAACTACATGTACGTTTACTAAATGCATGCAAGTACGTACATGCACACGGTCATTGGCCTAATTTTTGAGACACTTTAAAAAATTCATAAACAAATTCACTTCTCATCAAAATCAGTTCAAAATTTCTACATGACATAAGTAGATGTACAGTGTACATGTACACATACTTTATTTACACGTACATGTACATGTATCAGAAATAAATCATAAAAATGAAGGATTCTCTCGTAGCCATTTTTGATGAAGTTTTGCTAAAGGCAGCAGGGTCATTGGCCTGATTTTTTGAAAATTTAAAAATTCATAAAAATCCAGTTTAGATCGGAATCAATTTAAAGATTCTACGCAGCATAATAGCATGAATATGTATCAAGAAAAATTGTGAAAATGGAGATTTCTCTTTTAGTTATTTTTTGAGGAAATTTGGCCAAAGACCATGTACATGTACTACAGTTTGGAGTAACTTAAAAAATTTAAAAAAAAACTTTTTGATCAGGATCAGCTCAAATTTTCTGCACAGCATAAGAACATGTACATGTACATGTATATGCATCAGGAAAAAATAAAAATTAAATTTTTCTCTGGTGAAAATTTGGATAAAATGCCTGTACTAGAACATAAATTTTTTTTTTAAATGCCTGTACTATAGTACAGGGGATTTGGTCTGATTTTGGAGCAACTTCAGAAAATTCATAAAAAATTAATGTTGATTGGAATCCATTTTAACTTTCTACACAACATAAGAACATGTACATGTACATGCATAAGGAATAATTATAAAAATGGAGAATTGTCTCCTTTTCATTTTTCTGGCAAAATTTGCACAAAATCCCTGTGCTATTATTACATTAATACAGGGACTTTGGCCCAATTTTGGAGCAGCCTAAAAAATTATAAAAATTCATTTTTCATTGGAATGAGCTCAAACTTTCTACACAACATAAGAACATGTATGTACATGTATATTGCATCAGAAAAAATTGTAAAAATGGATAATTCTCTTCTTTTTATTTTTGGCAAAATTTGGACAAAATCCCTATGCTACAGTACAGGGACTTCGACCTAATTTTGAAGCAACTTTGAAAATTCATTAAAAAATTTAGTTTCCATCAAAATTAGCTCAAACTTTCTACACAACACAAGAACATGTATATGCATTAGGAAAAAAAAATTAAAAATGGAGAATTGTCTCTTTTTTCAATTTTGGCAAAATTTGGACAAAATCACTGTGCTATAGCACAGGGAATTTGGTCTGATTTTGGAAGAACTTAAAAATTCATAAAAAATTCAGGCTTAATCGGAATATGTTCAAACTTTTTTACACAGCAAAAGAACATGTATATACACCAGGAAAAAATTAAGAATGGAGAATTCTTTCTTTTTCATTTTGGCAAAATTCGGCTTGAGACACTTGGCCCAATTTTGGAGCAAGTAGAAAATTTATAAAAAATCTAGCTTCCATCAAAATTAGCTCAAACTTTCTACACAAAATAAGAACATGTATATGCACTAGGAAAAAGTATTAAAATAGAGAATTGTCTCCCTTTCATTTTTGGCAAAATTTGGAAAAAATCACTGCGCTATCATACAGGGACCTTAGCCCGATTTAGGAGAAACTCTAAAAGTGTATAAAAATCCAGTTTTGATTGGAATCAGCTCAAACTTTTTTACACGGCAAAAGAACATGTATATGTATCATCAGGAAAAATAAAAAATGGAGAAATCAATCATTCTAATTTTTGGCAACATTTGGTCAGAGACCATATACACAGTCCCTTGTAAAACTACATATAATTGTAACTCACATTAGTCATTTCTTTAGAAGCTAGCTCAAGTACCTTCTCCATGCTGGGGTATATGATCGGCTGCTGACTGTACTCCTTGAACTGAACACTGATTGATGGAGCATCAGCTGCATTAGAATTAGTGACAACAGTACCTGGAATAATAATAATAATAATAATAATAATAATAATAATAATAATAATAATAATAATAATAATAACAATTATTTTATTTTATTTTCTAACCTTTCTTAATAATAATTTTGTGCACAATAATATTGCTTTACCAATAAAAAATAAAATAATAATAATAAATTATTGGGACTACATGTACATGTACATAAACTTCTGATAAAAATACATGATGTACATGCGCATGTACATGTACATGTACATGTACGTGCTTCATAATTTTTAAAGTGCTTATATTACATGTGTGTACGCTTTGCAATCAAAACAGAGGAGTTATCAGTTAGTTTCATGATGTGATAAATTAATAAAATAAATAAATATTATCCTGTCACATGTATTTAAAAGGGCTCAATCAATTTTCCGTACATGTACTATAGTGGGTGTACAGTACATGTTTTTGGGTAAAATGAAAGTAATGCAAACATTTGAAGCTAAACAAAAATAGCAAAAACAGTCTACTGCAACCTATGCATATTGCTATTGCAGGCATCGAATCATACACACAACATGCAGAACTAGTAATCTTCATAATCAATAGCAACTGAAGTGGAGAGAATTACATTTACAGCATGTTTATTCACTACATGTACATGTACAACCTCATTTAACCTAATATAACCTAATGTATTAGTTGTACAAATAAATTAATATCACTTATTATGGCAAAATTACCAAAAAACCTTAAATTAATTAACTAAAATTAATTAATTAAAATTAATCAGCATAAATTAAAATACATGTATTACCAATAGGATTGAGGAGGTCCTCCAGTGGTTCTTCAGGACTAACAGGCCAACAAGGTAGTGTCTTGCTGACTCCATTACAAAACTGACACCTGTAATCAAATAAAGGTTGATTCACCCAGGCTAATGGAACCTAGTTGAATAGAGAAGAGAGAGAGAGGGGAGAGAGAGAGGGGGGAGGGAGGAAGAAAGGAGGGAATGATGATGCAGTTACAGCAATAATA